AACTTTCCAGCCTGCCCAGGTCACACTGAATGGCAGCACAGCCTTCTGGTGTATCCACCACACCTCCCAGTTTGATGTCATCAGCAAACTTGCTGAGGGTACATTCTAACTCTTCATCCAGGTCGTTGATGAAGAATTTGAACAAGACTGGGCCCAGTACTGACCCCTGAGGGACACCACTAGTTACCGGCCTCCAACTAGACTCAGAGCCGCTGATGACAACCCTCTGAGTTCTGCCATTCAGCCAGTTCTCAATCCACCCCACCGACCACTCATCCAGCCCATACTTCCTGAGCTTCCCTAGGAGGATGTTATGGGAGACTGTGTCAAAAGCCTTGCTGAAGTCTAGGTAGACAACATCCACGGCTCTCCCTTCATCTACCCAGCCAGTCATATCGTCGTAGAAAGCTATCAGATTGCTCAGGCATGACTTCCCCTTGGTGAATCCATGCTGACTACTCCTGATAACCTTCTTTTCTTCCACTTGCTTGTTGATTTGTTATTTTGTTGTTGTGTGTTTCGGAAGGAGTGCTTTTCATGAAGAAGCGGTGGTACGTGTGTTTTAAATGTCACTACTCAAAAATAGGTATCCTGTTCCATATAGTGCATTTAACTTTATATTTTCGTAGATCCAGTCACTCAGATGGACCATTTCTACAACAGCTAATAGCATTACGTACTGATTATGTTTATGTACGTTTATGCATATGACTTCAAATCAACTTTTATAGCAGAGCCTTCAAAAAGACTGACAATTATAGGAAATCGCTGCATGGCTGCAAAAATCTCACAGCGGGAGTGCCAGAACTGACAGATCTAGGCTTCGGGACATGACATAAATCATCAGTGGAGGAAAACACCCTTCATAATCAATTACAGACAATTACACTCTGCTCTGCAGCTGATTTTGCCACATGGCATTTAATGATTCCAGCAAAGATTTGTTTGTTTTTAACGCTCCACTGCTTAGAAATGCTTGTAAAGCATTATCTCAGAGCTGATTAAGCACAGTGTGTTGGCTGAAGGAAAAAGATGTTGTTAAAATGGGGATATAATAATGCGTTGGTGCATGAAGTTTGGGCACAGTGGGCTTTTCTCCTTCTGAAGTGCAGATATGGAACTAAAGATCTGTCTGAAGCTGATACTTTGCTTTGTTCTGGCCTCCTACAAACAGAAAGGAAGCACAAAGAATATTTTATGGTGGAGGTCTACCTTCCTGTTGAGGTTCACATACGTCACAATACTCCTTTCAGTGTTCTGCTCAAGCCAAGTTGACTTTTGCCTTCCCTGCTTCATTTAAGCCCTCAAAATACCTCCTTAGTGTAGTGTCATCACTTAAAACAGGTATCACCAACACAGTGAGTAGACCTTGAAGATGTCTAATTCATCCACATCGGGTGCCCTTCCTTGCTTCTCTGCCCTGGCTCTGCTTTGTTCCTTGATCTCCGAGAAGCCCACATTGGTGAGCTGGGTGATTGCCCAAGAAGTTCATGCATTTTGACTAGATGTCCAGCTGCTGTTTCTTGGCACCTGGTAGACCCAAAAGTGACCCTGGTGTCTGTGTGTTGGCCATGTACAATTACAAGCTTGCTGCAAAAACTCAGTATGGCCGCTATTATGCCGGAGTCCTGTGTACCTTGAATCTTTGCATAACTGAAAGCAAAAAGAGCATCCACATACTTGAAAGCAACTCACAGAATCACAGAATCACAGAATGGTAGGGGTTGGAAGGGACCTCTGTGGGTCATCTAGTCCAACCCTCCTGCCGAAGCACCCACACCGGGGTTCATGGCAGGAGTGTCACTGGTTCTTGAACCTGCATGGTAAGCTGTTGGAGACCAGTGCTTCAGCTGAAAAGAGGAAAGTAGCAAGCTGGAAAAATACTTTCTATATGCTGTTACTTAAATGTATACATATAGATTAAAGTTGACCAAGTCTACTGACCTTGGAGTAGGTAGGGCTTTCCTTATTGTTTTATAGTGCACTCTAAGCCAATGAAAAATATGCTTAAGGGATGAGTTCAAAGGCTAATTCCTTACTATTGCAGAAAAGGTGAAAGGCCTTTTTGAAACAGAAAATCTCTTCCAATCATAGGCCAGCCTGGGTTGGCTTTGTCTTTTCTGGAGCAGATTTTTATAGCCCTTGAGCTGCTGTAACTCCGTGTACTGCTTCAGTTAATCAGAAGAATATTCCCTGGGAGTGCAGTCTCTTCTTCACCCAGACATAGAGTAGTTCCTCTGGATTTCTCATCATTCCTATCCACGTTAATGCACTTTGGTTACCTACAGCATCTCCGGCCAATCATTCAGTTATTGTGTGAAGCAAACATGTGCAATTGTGTTAAAAGGGAAACTGGCAGAGTCTTTCATCTGTTTTTCCCTATACATTATTACTATTTAACGTCTGTGTTTGAAATACTTCAGCAGAGTATTTCAGTTTATTGCAAGTTTACATTTATAGGTTTTAACCATGCTAAGACTGATGAACTTTGAGTGTAGGAGCTAGTGAAAAGATTAAACTCCGGCAGAGATCTGAACAGTGTCTAATACAAATATTGTATTCATGGAATAAAAAAGACCCCAGAAAATTTTGGGCCATTTCTGATACGTACAGGACATTGTCTAAATTTTGCAGCTTCACTTCCACACCTTCCTAATGTCCCATGAAAACTATGGCTATCGTGACAGAGGAAGGTGGGAAAATAAAGGCAATGTTAATAAATAAATTGATAAATAGATCAGGACTTGAATAAAGATCTTGATAGAATGGCTGGCGGCTGAATTTTGGAGACATGAACGAAGTGGTTGTAGAGTGTTAATAGTAGGTTTGCAGTGAGAGAGATTTAAAAACAGAAGCCAGAAACAAGATGAACGAAATTCAGGGGAAGTTGTGGGGGACAGAGGAGTTGCCACGTTGTTCGTAGAGAGTTGCACATTTCTTAGTGCTAAACTAGTTCATGTCATGAAGCATCATTTTTAAACTGTAGTGAAATAATGGAAATGAGCAAAAAAATGAGTAAAAGCCTAATTCCAGCCCGGGTTCTTACGCTGACCTGCCATGCAGCTCTGAGCGAGCTGTTCAGCCTCAGCAGGCGTGTTGCCCTCTGGGCTGGGCATAGCAGCGTCTCTCTCAATGGACTCCTCACAGAATTCACTTACTGATTTGTTTAGAGCTATGTAGTCTGCCTTAATAGTAGTTTTCTGTTTGTATCCCAAGTGTTCATCATATTTATTAGCCTAGAGGAATGTGCCAGGTACTTATATTTGCTGAAAGTAAACATTAACGTTAACGATGGTTGGATGGACAAGGGGGAAAGCAGTCCAGCTCTCTTGTTTGAATGGTAGCCTTATTTGTGCGGTTATACTCTCTTGTTCCATGGATACCACAGCTCACTTGTGGAAGCTGGAGCTTCTGATATCAAGAAAGGTCTGTCAGTCAGCTGCAAAACTGATTGCCAAGGTTAATTTTTTGATAGCAGTCCTTAACATTTTCTTCCTTATGAAACCTCCTTCCGGTCTTAATCTCTGGTCTGCAAAAAATGTGCCAAGAAACCAACCCAATTTGATGAGATGAGTTTGACGATATCGATCTGCAAAAAGACCGCTCAAACCAACCAGGTTGTTAGAGTCATGATGAGAAACTTGTTTGAGAGCCTTAGCCTTGTCTTGTCAAAATACATTTTGTAAGAGCATGGCTTGTTTGCAAAAGCCTTTCAGCCCCGTTCTGAGGAGCTCGAGTAATTCCATGGGCTCAGACACTGTAATTGTTCATTGGGCTTGAAATAAGGGAGCATTAACTTGCGCTTATCAGGTGTCATAGAGACAAGAGGATTTTGAGTTCCTTTCACTGTGTGCCACCAATTTGCACTCTAATGCTGTTAGAATCTGTTTGCTTACGATTGCTTTTTTTAATCTAGTTGTAAGACCTCTGGAATAAAATAGTAGCCTGGTGGCACTTTACATAAGCAAACCTCGTGTCAAAGTTGACTCCCAGTGATGAGGATGCAAGTCAAGAGCGGTAGTGATTCTGATGCTGTAGGGCTTCCAACTTGGGCAGGGTCCCAGCGATGCCGGCCAAGAAGCACCTGCTGCCGCCTGATGTGAGGATGGATACCAACGATGGCCTTGTGAAACAGCCTTCATCCCACCTTGGCTGCCGGATTTGGGCTTGGCCAAGACTGTCATGGCCTGAAGAGACAAGAAGGATTCACACTAAAAGGAGGGGACAGAGTGGCAACGCAAGCATTTTTGTTTTGTGTTGGTATTCACTTGAAACACCGAGGTCAGCAGACAGCAGGCTGCTGCTCACAGGTTTGAGGAAGGAGCCTTATGGAAGATGCACCATTCACACCAAGACAGATGTTGTTACATGGATGGGAACAGCTGCCTCCTTTTTCAAAGCTGTTATCATGAAGTACATTTGGTGCTCTAAAGAAAATGTCTGCTTGTTGAGGCTGATGAGAAATCATACGCCAAAGTGAATTGCGTTTCAAAGCATTGGACATTATGAATTATTTTTATGAGCTCTTCTCCACATTGCCTGCAAAATCTTTAATTAAGAATGTAGTTAACTGAAAACTTAAATATCCCCCAATTAGTGTGATAGCTTTTTGATGCTTTCAGTATGGAATGCTTAGAAAAGAAGTGAGAGAATCCAGCATTTCCTACACAGTAATATGCTTGTGATCTTGATCAGTGGTGCTGATGAGAAGTACGGGAGCCTTTGCAGTAATACTATTGTTCAGTTAAAAACTGAAAATTTCAATTTAGTAGTAACATTGAAGCTTGTAAATTGTGTGCTGATGTGGGAAAAGAAATGGTGACACGGACAACTAGAAGTGAGTGGAAGAAGAGCGCTTACTGGTAACCTCTGCTCACCGTATAAGCTGCCACTTAGGTATCTGAAGGTGGTGATACAAATACGCTCAGCTGATTAAAAAAATATCAATTTGATAAACAAAAAGAGGGAAAAGTTTATTAAATTTGTCTTCTGAGTGAGTATGTTTAAAACTTCTGTGGTTTTCAACCTATGGGACAGACTTAGAGCCTTGGCAGCAATTGGAGTCAGAGTTTGGCTTACAGGGCAGGGTGACTGTGTGAGAACACTGCGCTAGAAACAAAGCTGTAGATTCAACCACTTTCTCCTAATACTAGGGTTCGGAGCTGGCTTGCTTATCATTACTGCTGTTTTTCAGATATTGGGTTAAGATTACATCTCCGCCTTTTTTTTCCTTTTTCCTTTTTGCATCATGCATTGCAACAACAGGTGTCCGCCGACTCGAGCTCCTCCATGAACTCCAACACGCCTCTGGTGAGGATAACGACTCGCCTCTCCTCTACTGCCGATGCCCCCATGCTGGCGGGAGTCTCCGAATACGAATTGCCAGAAGACCCAAAATGGGAGTTTCCAAGAGACAAGTGAGTAGCCTGTTTCTCTTAGCACTACCTACATGTGCCTGAAAAACATGACGCACTATGAAAGGAAACATCTTTCCCGATGTCTCCCAGGGTCTCTTTAGTTCAGAGAAAATCTCAGTTACCTGAACCTCCTCTGAAGATCAAGATCCAATTCAATTATCCAAAATCAGTCTTCCTTTAAAATAGAAGCTGAATTTTCTCTGCCTGTTGTTCTGCTTTGATTTTCAGGTTTCTGGCAGCATTTCAGGTACCCTGCTGAAATGTAAGTCCTCTGTTATGAAAGGAGTGAATCTGAAATGTTATTTCAAAATACGTATGATTTAGACTGGGTGTCCACATACAAACATTGTTGAAGGGCAGTCAAGGTTTCCCCAAGCAATACCTCTGTACATTAAACCATATCTCTTAGTTGATTACTTAATTAGTTAATATTTATAAAATAGGTAATGAAATACCATGTAGGAGATGGAGAAAGTCTAGAATATGGTATCAGACAAACTTTTCTTTCTGTCAGGACCTTCTGGATAGGATATTGTGTTGATTTAGTATCAGCCTGTATTAATGGAGATGATGGTTTTTGATTTAGTGGGACAATTTGCATGTTGTGTACATATATATACAACTTCTGTGGCTTGAAGGTGTTAGGTTTCAAGCAGAGCACACTGAATGTATGCAAATAATATCTGATATAGGCAAATTCATATGACTACAGAATATTTTCTTCAGTCTGTTGACTAACATGCAAAACGAGCTGCTGAATAATCTAATTAAAGCTGTAACCATAGTTCTTAATATAAAAAAAGACATGTAAAAGAGAGATAATAAAACCATGATTACATATTAAAGTTAGTATTAACTTTAAGAAGTGTTTAGGTGACTTTGAGAAAATAACACCTTTTGCATGAACAGTTCTCTTTCTAAGTTCAGCATCGTAACTTTTGGGTAGAAGAGCTGCAATTTTGAACCTTCTGACAACTGTTCTGGAAATTATTTTAATGATGTAGCTGAAAACTAGTGCAAAATGCTGTAATTGCCACCTGCAGTATTCTAGTCAGCAGTGGGGGCCTGTATGTGAATTTCTGTCAGCCCATACCCTGGGGGGATACACGAAATGCGGAAAATTTTAGAGTGCTAAACATTTAAATCCAGCATTCAGCGCAAAGGTAGGTGGAGTAAATTTGCAATGAAAGGAGGCTATTTAGAGGCAGTTTATTAGGTTGGGGGGCAGGAGGCACACAATGAGGGGTTTGTTACTTTAGTCCTAGCAGGGCAATAGCACATAAATTAACCAGTTTCCAATGCAAATGTTTGTTCTCTGCCAAGATCCTAAATTCAATTTCAGTTCTGGAGAAAATGCAGGATGACCTCAGCATAGCATACGCTGCCCTTCAGTCTTTGCACCTTTTTAAACTCGCGTTTGCTTTAGAAACCAATCCAAAACAGCTTGAGGAATTCTCACTGAGGCAAAGACTGCATTTGACAGGGGGTCTGCGGACTGCCCTCGGGAGGAACCACCTCTCACTTCTTTCTTGTGCCTGAGCAGATAAGCGGGGTTTTCAAACCACTTAGCCCTGGTCTAACCCTCTCCTGCAGATGGTACGACAACCTCTCCCTGTATTTCAAGAGGGAAGGCACAAGTCTGTGCTTGTAAGAATGAGTCCCTGTGTATAGCGTATCTGTGAATCCTGCTTTTGACCATGGAAAGCCAAGATCTTGAGAACTCAGTTATGCAAATGCTTATCCATATCTGGCCCCTGCACTGGATAACGTTAGCAGCATCAAACCCGCCGAGCACTCTGATTTCTGCCATGGCGCTGCTTCTGGACTTAGATGATAATTTCTGCAGGTTACAGAGCCCAAATCTGGCCCTGAAGCACTTAGGCTGGAACCAAAAAGATTTTGCCTAGAGGCTTTGAAGTTTCTTTTTTATTTTATCTCTTTATCCTCCTAAAGTTGAGATCGACATCTCTGTGTCTGTCTGTTACAGCTGAGCAGGTTTTGCAAGCAGGTATATGCTCCACAAGATGCATTTTGCATAGCCCACTTAATGACTGCTCTTTTTAAAAGGTTTCTTACGTTGATACTGTGGTTACAATAGAGCTTGAGTTTCCCCCAGTCTCCGTTTCCCACTCTCTGAGCAGAGCCCGGGTGTGCAGATAGGAGGCATCTCCCGTCACCCTCATACACGGCATTTGTGGCAGCAAAAATCCTGCAGCCAGGAA